TGTATCAACTGTTGCAGTGGTTTCTGAAAGTTTGTTTCTCAGACTGGTGATTCCCCAGTCTTTTTTTTTTGTTTTCCCCATACTGGGGATTGAATTCAGGACCTTGGCTCGCAAGGCAGGCACAGTGCTGCTGAGCTAAATCCCTGGCCCTTCCCCAGTGTTTTTGGGGTATCCTCCATATCTAAACTATTTTTCCAATAATAGTTAAGGCATCACTTGCCATACTGCCTTTGCAAATCAATGGTAGGTAAAACTGCTGGTGCCTTACATGAATTAAGGTAGTGGCACTGAATTGTATTACTGTAGTAACTGTGTTCTCCATCAGATATTTGAAATTAAATAATAAATGGCAGTTATACTTGGTGTCTTTTTTTTTGAATTGTTGGGAATTGAACTCAGGGCCTCATGCATGCTAGGCAAACACTATCATTGAGCTATATCCTAGCCCTTTTTATTTTATTTTGTTGTTCAAGCTGCTTTGAATTTTGGATCCTCCCACCTCAGGCTCTTGAAGAGCTGACATTACAAGTGTGTGCCACCATGTTCAGCTACACTTAAAAATCTTTGATGAAGTAGTAAAACAATTTTATTGTATCTCGATTCTTGAGTAAATTTAAATATATGTGTGTGTATATATATATTTCTAATTTTTAATTTTTTAAATTTTTTGGTACCAGGGATTGAACTCAGGACCTTGCGCTTGGGAGGCAGGCGGCAGCACCACTGAGCTAAATCCCCAGCCTCAAATCTACTTCTTATTCCATATTTCCTTGAAGGAACTGAGTCTAGGGTCTTTAAAATAAATAAATTTACATGACTATGTATACTCGTATAAAGGCAGTCTTTATTTACAACATTGCTCAAGTCAATCACGTGAATTGACAACATGCTTCAATTGCCTACCCACTATCTGCTCAGGAAACCTCCAGGCTTACCTGCCATCCTGGCATCAGACATTTGTCACCAAATGACACAAACTACAGGGCTTAATAGCCAGGTCTGGAAGCCAAAGTCTGTCCTAAGTCTTATAATTTCCAATAACCAACTCTGTTTTAGACCTAATCCTATTTCAATTCAAAATGCTTCAAAATGCTTCTTCAAAACTGGAGGGCTTCTGACAGCACTTGCCCCTTATGTGGTTTGTTTGAAAAGGTCTGGTGGCCAGGAGCCCAGGCTGTCAACAACCAAGCAAGCACCAGAGATGCAAGGCCCAGAACCAAGGGTAATTTTCACATTAAAGATTAAGGTGTCAGCTTTCCACTCTCTATCGAGGAGTCCTGGATGGAAATTGAGTGGAGAGATCTTTCCAGTATAATTGATGAAGTAAAATGCTCCCTCTTGAGAACAGTCCTGAAGTGGTTCATCTATTTCACCCGAGGATGCAAATGTGGGCTTTAATGACACTGAATTTAACTCAAAAAGAGAACACATGGCTCTAGTTTGGTGGCAGGGGAGAGTGAGGGGGGCATCAAGGAGGAAGAGGGATGATTTATATTATTAATGAGATTTGTGCTGACCACCATGCATGTAACACACTGTGTCCTATTAAATCCTGAAAAGGACGGTGGCATCAACCTATCCCTTAACAACAAAAGAAAGCTGACTCCAGAATAAAAACCACTACTTTTCCTCCGCACACACTCAGAAAGGTATGTTCAAAATCATTTCATGTTACCATTTTAGGAATACAAAAGCTCCTCTTTGCTTGAGGAAAGCAAGTAGCTGGATATAACTTCCCACAGAAACGTTAAGAGCAGGACATATACCTGTATCCCTCTCTAGGCCTGACATGATGGTGCCACCACTCTGGGTCCTGGACCATGCTCACCTTTCACAGCACTTAGTGCTCTGGCTTTATTAAGAAGAGACCTAGGAACACAGACCTCAGGAGTGGGCGCCTACTTAGGCTGGCCATGGATGTGCCATCAAAGAGGACGAGTCACCCCATACCCAAGCTAAGACACCTTCAGCCCTTGTCCTCACCCTACTGTGGCCTGTCCTCTGGGGTGGTACAGTTCCCAGGGAAGTCACCCACCTCCAGCCCCTGCAGGCACGCACACTATCTGTGGCGCTAAACTGGGGGGTGGGGGGGCTAATGGAGAGGGGTGGAGTAGGGACAGACAGGGGAGGAAGAAACCGGGCCACCTCTATGCCTTTCATCTTCCTGGGTGCTCAGTGAAGAAACGGAGTGGAATTTTTTTGAACGGTAGTAGAATGCCAAAAAATGCAGACAGTTGACCTTGGGAACCCACACCATCGCAGCGGGAAACGCGAAAGAAACGAAGCACGTTGTTAAGTGAAGGGGGAGCACAGCTTGGCGCCGGGTGGAGCGCAGCGGCCCCGCAGCTCGAGGGCTGTGGGGGTGGGGGCGCAGGAAGGGTGCTCACCGTAGATCATGGCCAGTCCGGTCTCGTGCAGGAAGCGCACCCGGCGGTGCTTGAAGAGCCAGATGGTGAGGATGGTGAGGGTGAGCAGCAGGATGAAGGTGAGCAGGCTCACGCTGTCCTGCCGGTGGCTCTCCTCCGCCTCCTTTTCAGTTGCGAGTTCCTCCATGGCGCTACTGTCCTCGGCCTCCGCCCTAGCAGAGGAGGCCGCAGCCCCTGCACGCAGCCCCCGACCCAGGAGCAGCGGGAGCAGCGGCAGCAGTAGCAGCCGCGGCGGCAGTGCCCGGACAGCCTGCCACGGGCCAGGGTGCGCTGCGTCACCAGGCTCCATGGTCCCTGGGCCGCCCGTGCCTCGTCCGCTGGGGGAGCAGCAGCCCGCGCCGTCGGCGGGTTCCCGCTGCGCCGCTGACCTGCCCGAGTGGCCGCAGCCGCCGCAGCTCCTCCTCCCGCTCGCTCCGGGCTAGGGCTGCGCCTGGAGGCGCGCGGGGGAGGGGCGCGCGCAGTGCGCAGGATCCCCAAGCGCCGCCCCCCACCCGCGCACCTGTTCGTCCCACCGCCGCGCGTGCCACGCCGCGTGCGGACCTGGCAGCACAGGCTGGGGCCGGTTGTCGCCTTTGGGTCCGCTGGCCCACTGTGGGCCCTTTGCGTTTCTGCGCTCCTTACCCGGTCCAGGCGTACCTGGCCAGGCCTTCTGGAGTCTCAGAGCCGGTTCCTGGGCAGCCACCACCGTGCTGCCTAAAATGGACGGCAGGGGTCGCCCGCTCCTGGAAGGAGCATCAGTTTGGATTATCTCGGTGTGCGATCTCGAGTCCTGTCTCTGGCGCCACCGCGAAGTTTGGTCTCACGCCAGTGTGTAACTGCCCTGAGCCCAGTAAAGTGGGACCCCTGAGGAAACTAAGGAGCTGCGAAGCCATGTTACCTCCTGCACCTCTTTTTTTCATCCTCTCACAGGTTGCCTTCCATCTCATAGGACTTCCAGAAGCTGCTAGGCTTCATTCAAACCTCTGCTTGTAGTCTGGCTCAATTCGAGAACTGATAAGGTGTTGGATTCGAATAGAATGGCTTATTTTTATATTTTTGTTGGCTCTTTATTTTTCCTACGTGAATATAACATATTTTGATCATATTGCCCATTTCCCTCCCTACATGCCCTTGCCGTTCTCCATATCCTCCCCTCTTTAGACTGACTTCTGGATGGTGCAACCAAGCCCCTTGGCAAAGAGGTTTGAACCAGATGGAACTGAGCACTTGCCATTCCAGATAAATGAGCACCAAGTGGCCCTAAAGCAGGATCTGTGGAGGGGGTGGAGGCGATTACCCTAATGACCCTTTTATGTTGACTTCCTGGTAGGCCAGGGAGACTTTGGTTGAATCTTTTTCTTAAGTTAATTTTATTTTACATTTTAGATATACATAATTATCACATTCTCATCATAGGGAATTTGTACCTGTAGATAACACATCTTGATTCTTCTTTTTTCCCCAATCCTCTTCCCTCCCTTCAAACACTCTTCTCCTTATTTACAAAAGCTTTGTTTCCATTTTTTTTCCCTTCTACTAAGCCCAATTCGCTAGAAATATGACACTGGCTCAGAAAGGTGAAGCCTCGTGGAATATATCTTAGGAACTACAATTTTCAATGCACATGTTGCTCTTTTGGTAAAAGAAGAAGAAAGATCAAAATAATCACTGAATTCACAGTGCTTTGCACTGTGATCCTAAGTGTTTATTTAATCATTCTGAAATCCCCACCCTGTGCATTCACTCTCTCCCAGAAGAGTTTGCATTTTTAAGAGGATTCACTGAAGAACCCTGGAGAGCTGTTCAGAGCGTTGCTAATCTTCCTGGTTCCCTTCTAGGTGAATATTCCACCAAGACTGCTTAGTGCCTTCTTTACAGCAGGGGAAATCTCTTCGCTTAGATTTTGCCCAGTGTCTTTCCCTATGCACCCTCCCCAGCCTGTTACCCAGTCACTGCCAAAAGAAAAAAGTCTATGTAAGATTTGAAGTCCCTGCCAAGTTCCCAGTGAAATTACAAACACCAAAACTGTGTTGTTCAGTCACAGAGAAAGTCATACAACGATGGTAAAATTTGATCTAATTTTAGGAAAATCACTAAAATCCATGTTTGCTAAAAACTGGTCATATCAATCATAATATTATACCCTCTTGAATTCCCAGAAGTCAAAGACAAAAGTTGTCTCTGTAGCTCACACTGAGAGCACTGAAGTGGCTTCTTGCCAGGCATGGTGCCACATACCTGTAATCCCAGCACTTGAGAGGCTGAGGCAGGAGAATCACCAAGAGTTTAAGACCAGCCTGGGATATATAATGAGTTCAAGGCCAGCCTGAACTACATATGGAGACCCCGTCTCAAAAAGAAAAAAAAATACAGACTTCTTCATACTTGTGGCAGATTACATTTCCAAAAAAATGGCCACTACTATATTCTCAATCCCAGAACCTTACCTCGCTCCATCACATAGTGGCATCCCAAATTTAAGTGGACCTTTGATATTGTCTTAAAGAATAGAATGTGGCAGCAAATGTGACTTGTGAGACTGGGTCTTGATTCACTCTGGAACCCTGAGCTACTGTGGAGAAAATCTAACTACCTGGAAGCTGCTATGCAGGAAAACCCAGCAATAGAGGCAAATGCCACAGAAGCCCCAACTTTTTGAAGGTTCACAGCCCAAAGGGGCACACACATGAATGAGCTTTAAAGTTATTTCATTCCAAGTCACCATCTTGCTGTAAATATGAGACTCCACACAAAAACCACCTAGCTGAGCCTAGTCTATTCCTGAACCTATGAGACAATAAAATAATTGATGGGCTGGGGATTTACCTCAGTGGTTCTGCTGCCTGCCCTGCAAGTGCAAGGACCTGAGTTTGATCCCCAGTACCAAAAACAAAACAAAATAAAATAAAATAAAATAATTGATATTGTTTTGAGTTATGATCCTAAGTTTGAAAGTGACTACCTTCATAGCAATAGATAATCAAAGGACTAATTGTTGTATAAAGTAGTTGCCTCAGGTAGATCATGAAAAGGCTCATCTGACTATTGACAAATACATACCAAAGGAACCACAACCACTCTGACAAGAGAGGAAGTATGTGGGGGAGGGGAGAGAGAGAGTCAGAGAGAGTGACAGAGACCTATACAATATAGAGGTTCTGATTCTAGTTAACATAGAATAATCACATTCAGCTCATTCTTTCCCACTGATGGAGATATAAAACCTAAACAGAGCTGGGCATGGCGGTGTTGTGGCCCGTACACCCAGCTACTCGGTGGGGGGTGGGGGGTGTTGTCACTTGAGTATGGGAGTTCAAGATCAGCCTGGGCAACAAAGGGAGACTTCATCTCAAAAAAAAAAAAAACCTGGAACAGAATGTGTAGAGCAGCTATGTAAGGACTCTGAAAAGTAAATTGTGTGAGGTAAATACCTGAAGAACACAAGAACTTGAAGTAAAACTGAACTAGCTGTGAGTTTACCACTTTTTCCTCCAGGTCTCATTGGACTAGACTCAAGGCAACCCAAAACCCAGCGTGGGACATCAACACAGACAGAGCACCAGGAAGGACCCCCAATAGGCCTCCCGATGTTTAAAGAAGGTAGGACAAATACTGTTTTTCTTTTTCTTTTTAAAATTTTTCTTCATTGTCTCACACATTAGGCCATAAGTAAACCCACTATGGGAGCTGAGTCAGTGACACCGAGAAAACAACACCCACAAATATTCAAAATACCAAAAAGGAGGAGAAACTTCCTCTCTGGCTGGAGTGGCTGTGGTCCCAAGGCAGTGATCCCCAAACACCCAAGGATATTCTTTCCTCTTCTCTCTGTCCTGCTTCTTGGTCCCAGACATGAACAAAACTGCAGGAAATACATGACAGACAAGAGTAAGTAAGACCCAGATTTCTTGCCAGTAGATCAAGAGGAGAACTCCAAGGAACTTCAAAGTACCAGAGATTGTAGAGAGGGAGAAGTTCAGAAGACCACCCCATAAAGTTATTTATGAACTTCTAGATTCACCCCAACCTGATCGTAGATCTACTCATAAACAGTATACCAAAGATTGTGGTAAGTGAACTAAGAATCAGATCAGGTCCTAGACTAGCTATGAAACACAAATAGAACAGCACTACAAAAATTTTAAAAGATGAATTGGCTTTGGAACCACAATCCACAAAAGCAGGTCAGAATTTGTGATCTAAATTTAGTCATGTAAATTACAAGATAAAGTAAAAATATTAGCCAGGCATGTAGTGCATACCTGTAATCCTAGCACTCTGGGAGGCTGAGGCAAAACTGCAAGTTTGAGCTCAGCCTGGGCAACTTAGTGACTTAGTCAAGAGCTCTCTCAAAATAAAAATGAATTAAAAACTAAAAATGTTGAGAATGCCGGGGATTTAGCTCAGTGGTTCTGCAGCCTGCCTCACAAGCACAAGGTCCTAAGTTTGATCCCCCGTAACAAAAATAAATAAATGAATGAATGAATGAATGAATAAATAAATAAAAAGGTTGAGAATGTAGCTCAGTGCAAAGATGCCCTAGGTTCAATACTCAATACCCCCCCCCAAAAAAAATCTCCCTTGGTATTCAAGGTCCCATAATGTAATATTCAAAATGTCCAAGATGTAACTTCAAATTATTCAGCATCTGAAGCACCATGAAAATCTCAACTCTTATTTTTTTTTTTTTTTGATACCAGAGATCGAACTCGGGTCCTTGAGCTTGCGCAGCAGGCAATGAAACCACTGAGCTAAATCCCCAGCCCACAGAAAATCTCAACTCTTGGAAAATAGACACCAACACTGAGATGACACAGATGTTGGAATTACCTGAAAATATTTTTATTTTTATTTTTTTCTTAAATTCTTTTATTGGTACATTTTAGGTATACAATACATTTACATTTATCGTCGGGTGCTTGTATCTGTACATGATGTATTTTGGTTCTTATTTTTTCCCCATTACCTGTGCGCCCTTCACCCCTCCACCCTTCCCTATTTACATAGACTTTGTTTCCATTTTTTGTTTCTTTTCTCATAAATTTTCCTTTCCATTCTTTCCTTTCCCCATCTCCTCCCACCACCCCTATCCCTTTGGACCTTTTCTTATTTCAAAGTATCAATTATTAGTTATTAATCCTTATTTACTCTCTCAGTTTCTCACACTAGAGAAACTATTCGGTATTTACACGTGTCCTATTTATTTCACTGAAGAGTATGGCCTCAATATGCATCCATTTAGCTATAAATAACTCTAGCTTCTCATTATTTATGGCTGAGTAGTACTCTATTTTATAAAAAAAAATACATCTTCTTTATCCAGTTTCCAGTTGATGGGCACTTGGACTGTTTCCAAGCTTTAGCTATTACAAACTGTGCTGCTATAAACATGGGCGCACATATATCTCTGTGGTATGATTCTTTTAATTCTT